TGTTGAGCTCCTGAGAATGGATGAAATGACCTTGGTAGAGCATATAGAAGGAAATGGTCCTTGAGAAGCACAAATGTTTAAGGCACAGGCAGGGGAAGTAGAGCCTGAGAAAGTGTAGTTAGGGAATCAAGAGGGAGTAGTGTCATGGAAATCAAGAGAGAAGAGAGGGAAGTATGATGGTTGGCAGTGTCATATGCTGCAGAAAGGTCACCTGGGATGAAGGCTAAGAAGAATCCACTGTCTTGGTTATGGAGAAGCCACTGGTGACCAATTTCTTTTGTAGGGGAATGCAGTCATATTGTACTGGATTGTGAAGTATAGCAAGAATGTCTATGAACACACTGTTGACTTCTCTTTCAAAAAGTTTGATAGAGAAGAGAAGCAGAGAAGGTGAGACTTTTGGTTAGGAAGAATTGAGCATTTTGGTAAGAGAGAAGAAAGAATTAGTCTGTAGATGGGGAACTAGATGGAGCAGGGGAAAGGGGATAATTGGTGGACTAAAGTCCCAGAAGGTGGGGTGGGATCCAGAGTACAGGTAAAGAAGCAATTAGCCTTGGAAAAGGCCAGAGAAACCTCTTTATCTGAGTATAAAGGGAAAGGTGCCTGCAAAGAAGTGTGGAGACCTTGGAGTCAGAGTTTGAAAATTCATGGTTGATGGACTCTAAAATCTCAGTAGTAGAAGAGGCCACTTCTTCTGATGGGATTGACAAGTAGAAGTGAATGAGGAAGAGAAGAGACTGAAGAGAGTAGACTGGTTTGGAAGCAATTCTATTGAGAATGTGGAGTTAAGTAAAAGAAACATCAAGCAAATTTGAGAATCCACCTGAAGTTCAGATCTCTTTATATTTGTGCCATTTATCTTAATATCAATATTGGTGAATAGTAATAGCTATTTATTGAGCTTAGTATGGGGGAGTTCTTACATGTGTTATAACAGCTTCGTAGTATAAGGGAGATACTATCATTATTCTCATTTTGTAGAGATAAAATTGAGACATAGAGATCAATAACAGAAAGAGGTAAGACCACACAGCTGCTAAGTGGCCGAAGCAGGCTTTGAACCCAGGCAGTCTGATTGCAGAGCACAGCAGTCACCTTCACTGTATAGGAAGGAAAGCTGGCTTGATGAGAGGTTGGAGATAGCAGGGTGAGTGGGAGAGATGCAGTGGCAAGAGACCTGAGGGTGCTCATGTGTGTTCTGAAGTTCACTGAGTTCAGGTAGATGGGAAAGGAAGTGAATCAAAGTCTGGAGCCTGATGATGAGGGAATTGAGAGCTGGGAGGTCAAAGAAGAGGTTTAGGTGGAATTGGGTAGGTGGAATATGGGATGCTAAGAGTTGTGATTAGAAAAGGTTGGGTTATTTGAGGTATAGTATTTCTGAGTAACCCCAAGACCACCATATATAGTCAAAGAAATGAAGGGCTGAGGATAAGAGGATGTTGACTTTACTGCTTCACTGACTTTTTCCTGTTTGTGATATTATTTTATTAATTTGACCATTGCTGCTGAAATAACTTCTCTTTTAATTGCCTTGAATAATCTAGCCCTTCTCTTTTCACTCTACATGTACTTATAAATTGTAATACACTTCTTATCCTACAAATTATTCCTATTAGATCTTTTAATCTCATAGTAAAATATTTTAAGGATTTTTTAACAGTTAATTTTTAGTTTCTGAGGTTGAACAATTTCTAGCTTAGTCATGACTAATTCAGTCAAGTTGAATACTAAGATACATGGATATATTTTACTACATTTACAATTTAATCTCTAAAATAATGAAGTAAAATTAGGCAAGATAGTTTTTTTAAGGAGGAAAAAGTAGAATAGAACAAATACTGACTGAATTTTTAAAAAACAAACTTTATTTGAGAATAATTTTAGACTTATAGAAAAGTTGCAAGGATGATACAGAGGGTTCCCTTATATCCCTCACCCAGTTTCCCCTAGTGTTAACATCTTATGTTAGTATGGTACATTTGTCACAATTAATGAAGAAATATCGATACATTATTATTAACTAAAGTCCATCCTATATTCAGATTTCCTTAGTTTTTACCTAACGTCCTTTTTCTGTCCCAGGATCCCATCCAGGATACCACATTACATTTAATTGCCGTATTTCCTTAAACTCCTTTTGGTTGTGACAGTTTCTCAGACTTTCATTGCTTTTGATGACCTTGTCAGTTTTGAGGAGTACTGGTCAGGTGTTTTGTAGAATATTTCTCAGTTTGGGTTTGTCTGATGTTTTTCTCTTGATTAGACATGGGGTATGGGGTTTTTGGAGGAAGACCACAGAAGTAAAGAGCCATTCTCATCGCATTGTATCAGGACTACATGCTATAAACGTGATGCATCACTGATGATATTTATCTTGTTCACCTGGCTGAGGTAGAGTTTGTCAGATTTTTCAATTTTAAAGTTACTCTTTCTACCCCACCTGCCTTCTATACTGAATTCTTGGAAAGGAAGTCACTATGCACAGCTCCCGCCACCTTGAGGAGTGGGGAGTTATGCTTCACCTCTTTGAGGGTACAATATCTACATAAATTATTTGCAGTTGTTCTGCACAAGATATTTATCTTTTCTCCCCAAATCATTCATTCATTCATTCATTTATATTACTATGGATTCATGGATATTTATTTTATACTTTGGGATTTGATCCAATACTACATTATTTTGTTCAAATTGTTACAGCTTTTGCTATTTGGAGCTCTTTCAGTTGGCTTCTGTGTCCCTTTGATGTAACTTAATCATTTTGTTTTTTGAGCACTTCCTTACTTTTTGGCACTAAAAAATACTGTATATTCATATTATATATTCTCTGTCGCAGCCCTAGGATCAGCCATTTCTCAAGGAGCCATGGTTCTTTTTATTGGAGAATGGTATTAGAATCCAAGATCTGGGCCCTAGGTGTGCTCATTGCTACTGGGGCTTCATTGTTTCTATGCCCTTCCAGCCAACAACCTGGAAACATACTAACCTGTGTATACACACTTACGTGTAATTATTTCTATACTTGTCCACCTATATATACATATTAAGCCAAAGATGAGTTCATACTGATGTTTCCAACTCTAATCCAGTATCATATGGATCAATCTAGCCTCCTCCCCTCACTTGTCTGTAACTTTCCACTCCAGCAATGAGAATAATGGAATGAATCCATCAAACAGATTTACTTATTTGTTAAATTCCAATATACATGTATAATGGTTTTAGAATTGTTAGCCTGTTCCGTCATGAGACACAACTTTACCAACCAGAGTACACTGCCTATGGACAGCTTCTTTTATCTTGAATCTTATAGTCTCCATTCATTTTGAAAGTTACTTAGATCAGCTATTTTTACCTCACGCCCTTCAGTGAGGTTATGTCATGTATTATAATGCAGTTAGATTCGTTTGTCACAGTCTACATTTCTGTCCTGGCATCCCCCAACCTCCTAATTGATTTTTTAAAATTTGTGTACACTCTTCATGCTGTCTAAAGGGTTTTGCCAAATGCGTAACATCATGTATCCACCACTACAGTGTCATACAGAATTGTTTCACCACCCTAAAATACCCCTATGCTTCACCTATTCTACCCTCTCCTTCTCTTCCTGAATCTCTGGCAACCACTGATCTGTTTTCTGTTTTTAGAGTTTTGCTTTTTCCACAATGTCATATAAATGGAATCATACAGTAGGTAGCATTTTTAGACTAGATTCTTTCATTTAGCAATATGCATTTAAGATTCATCCATGTTACAAGAGTTGATAGTTTGTTCCTTTTCATTGCTGAATAGTATTCCATTGTATGTATACAATATGTTTGTGTACCACAATTTGCTTATCCATTCACCTATTGAATAACATCTTGGTTGCTTCCGATTTGGGGCAGTTATAGATAAAGCTGGTATAAACATTTGTGTGCAGTTTTTTGTGTGGACATAAATTTTCAAATTAATGGGAAAAATACCTAGGAGTGTGATTGCTGGATTATATGCTATGAATATGTTTAGCATTATAACTTCCATACTGTTTTCCAAAGTGGCTGTACCATTTTGCATTCTCACCAGCAATGAATGAGTGTTCCTGTTGCTCCACATCCTTGCCAGCAATTGGTTTTGTCAGATTTACGGATTTTAATCATTCTAATAGATATGTAGTAGTATCTTATTTTAACTTACATTGTTCTAATGATAAATCATGTTGAACGTCTTTTCATATGCTTATTTTCCTTCTATATATCTTCTCTGACGAGGTGTTTAAGGTCTTTTGCCCATGTTTTAATTGGGTTGTTTTCTTATTGTTCAGTTTTAAGAGTTCTCTATATATTTTAGATATCAGTACTTTATCCTTATTTATATTTTGTAAATATATACTCCCAGTGTGTGGGTGTCTTTTCATTCTCTTTATGGTGCCTTTCACAGATCAAGTTTTTAATTTTAGTGAAGTCCAACTTATCAATATTTTCTTCTATAAATTGTGCTTTTGGTGTTACCTCTAAAATACTTTCACCCAATATCATGCAGACTTTTTTCTGTGTTTTCTTCTAGAAGTTTCATAGTTTTGCATTTTACATTTAAGTTCGTGGTCCATTTTGAGTTAATTTTTGTATAAGTTGTGAGGTCTCTGCTTAGGTTTATTTTTCTGCATATGGATATCTAGTTGTTCTAGCTATTGAGTTACTTTTACACCATTGTCAAAAATCAGTGGAGTATATTTGTGTGGGTCTATTTCTGGGCTCTTTGATCTATTCCATTGATCTATTTGTCTGTTCTTTCACTAGTGTCATACTGTCTTGATTACTGCAGCTTTATAGTAAGTCTTGAAAGTGTGAGTCTGCCAACTTTGTTCTTTTTCAGTATTGTGTTGGCTATTCTAGGCCCTTTGCCTCTCCATCTAAATCTTGAGGGATGTTCACTGAATTTTAAAGACTGAAAACTAAAATTAAAATGTTTAATCCTCAGAGATGCAGAGTAAATGTGATATTTATTTAAATTTTTTCCAGGTGGTTCTTTGAAGTTCTGAAGTATCCTAAGTTCTCCAAGGCTAACGTGATCAATGGAATACTCATGACGGTGGTGTTCTTCATCGTGCGCATCATCCCCATCCCTCCTTTGTATGGCTACATTTATTCTGTGTTTGGAACAGAAGCCTACATGAGGCTTGGATTTTTAATCCAATGTTCCTGGATCTCTAGTTGTGTTGTTTTGGATGTGATGAATGTCATGTGGATGATCAAAATCTCAAAGGGGTGCATCAAAGTCATCTCTCTCATCAGACAAGAGAAAGCCAAAGATAGTCTTCACAATGGAAAACTTGACTAAAAGTGGGCTGTTGATAAGCATACTTCATTATTACCCACATTATATCTACTGATAGATGAATTCTTGGCATGTTCTTGTGCTTCTTTATTAATTATACTTGTTATCCAGGGTTTCAGTGTCTTTTTGTTTTAACCTTTAGAACAGAAAAACTAAAAGTTAGTTTTTATCCCAAGATTTCTTTTCTGATTTTCTTCTGCATTATAAGCATGGGTAAAATCTTAAAGGTTTAAATAAAAACTTATAAATATAGCGGTGAATCTTTTCAGAATCTGATAACCTGCATTGGTATTCTCTGTGAAAAGATGACTATGCTTACTTGGTGCACTTGGTTTTATATCACCAATTTTGCTGAAAGAATGGGAACTGCTTTTAAATCTGTATATAGCTTTCAACATTTTGCTGTACCACACTCATTTCTTCCTATGGCTGTCAATACCTATGTAGGGTTTAATTTCTACATTGTTGAAATATTCTTTTTCTTAGGCTATTAGAAGTGATATATTTTTCATTTAGATATGCTATCATCTATTAATGATGAAGTATTTTACTTACTTTGGGACATTTAATTAGTTCAGACATGGAAAATACTTCTTGCATTTTTAGATTTTTCAGACATCATTTTATTATTTCTATTTTTAGCATTTTATCAAATTGTTGCTTTTTCATTTTATGTAAGGCTTAAGACAGATTTTATAGAGCTCCTTAAGAGATGAATTTCTCCTTTTAAAGATGCATGTTATAGATGACTATTTAGGCTAATAGGAGGAATCATTAAGAAAAAGCTTTAACAGTGCTGTATTCATCTGCTTCCCTTATACTTTTTCTATGAAAAATATATTATTTCTGTTCGCAAAACTTCCCCTGAGTTTAGAACCCAACATCATCAGCACCAGAGTCTTTGCAATATGTATTTATCATGCTCCTGAGGTAGGCCTCCTCTTAATGAGACCAAAACTACAAAAAAAAAAAAAATCAGTATTCATATTTTACTCACAGTTTATACCCATGCTTGTTTAGTCAGCATTTTGAGTGCTTTGAATTTCTATCTTTCCTAAAGGACAGGAAAAAAATAGATAATTTAATCCAAGTATTCTGATGATCAGTATTATTGTCTTATATGATGACAAATGACTGGTGACTATGGTTTTTTGTTTTTGTGTGTGAGTATATGCTTGCTTTTGCTTTGGTTCTTGCAACCCAAATATAGAATTATATAGTTAGCTATTATTGCCTTTATTTATTTTTCTCAAGCACTTGACTTTATGATTGTTCTTACCTAAGAAAAAAGAAATTTAATTTAACCAATGGTGAATACTTGAATTTGACTGAACTCAAACCGAAAGATCTAATCCATTCAGTTTCTCAGTTTGAAGGAGAATGTTTGACTCTCTTTCGTTGTTCATGTTGTGCTGATGAAGGAAGACTAGCTGGGTGTACCAAATTTTTCGTTTAATTTGATTTCATTTGATTTGGCTGTCCAAAGCAGATAGAGCCTGATACGTTTTAGAATGTTTAAAGAAGGTCATTGAAATCTCAGTCAATAACTAAGTGATAAAATGAGATTGGCTTATACTCGGTACACTTATCTTTGAAAGACGTAAAGCAATGTAAAATACAGGTGTTTGTTTTTAAAGCTACTAATATTACATTGATGATTTGTTACAAATTGTAGTGCCTTCCACATCACAGGCACTTAAACACGTATTGGTTGTATAGAGGGGGTAGGAAAGCATGTGGTTTTATCTTCTTCCTTGCTTGCTGTTTTGCAAGAAAACCAGTTTTTTAAAAGGAAAACATTTATATTAGGAAACTGTTTTGGAAATTCATTCCTTTAGAAAGTAACAAAACATGAAATAAATATTTTTGACTCTTTGAATATTTCTGTAGTTTCTGAACACAGATTTTAAACCCACCATCAAAATGATATTAGAAAGCGATAATATTAGTGAGTTTCCATTTAGCAGTTTCAGTTTTTATAGTTTCTATTTCATGCTTAAAACTTCATTTTTACTTTCATTGACAGCACCTTTCCTTAGTGTAGCTGCTCATTAAATAAGTACATTAAAAGTGTCAATGTTTTGACCTGGTTTGTTATTCCCTTAGTCAGCAATTCTTATTTTATGCTGGCTGCGTGACAGCCAGTTCAGCACCCAGAGTCAATATCCAAACATAGATTCTACGTATTTACTCATACAACAGACATGAAATGGAAAAGACGCTACAAACTGCCCCTGCTTCAAGTCTGATCTGTACAGGAGCTATACTTGGCTGTTCTGTGATTGTATCCACCTACCTAAGAAACAAGTCAAGACAGAACATATCATTTATCAAACGATGAATTTTTCATTCATTAAATGACAAATTTTTGCTAGACATTTTACTTATTAAGTATTTTGACTACATGGATTAATTTAAATGATTCTATTAGGCACTCTGATATTTAACAACTGTTAAAATATTTATACAAAATAAAAGCAAATTGGTACAAATTTTTAAGCAACTCTATTTTTATAGAAAAGGATTAGGGACAACCTGTAACTATCAAGATGTTCTTTGAATGTGTAGTAGACTGGAAAATAAAAATTCTTACAAAATTTTGAAAATGAAGGAAAATCAAATAAATAGTATGCAAGATCATAAATTCTGCATTAGATATTTTCTTTGGGAGAATTTAAAAATTATGAGCTTGAGTTTATAGAGTTTGCATTCTTGTGTCTAAAATCTTTTTAATAAGTATTGTTTGCATTTGTTTAAAACTCAAAATGGAGTTATGTATGAGTGCAAAGAAATTAACTCCTGCTTTAATTGTATCCTGATATGTTATAGTAAGTTGAAATGTAATTTTTATTCCAACTGTTTGATTTTACTTCAAGGATTAGCCCTATGTTAAGAGAAATAATAATGTCTTCACCATTCCTAAGGGTGACTCATATACTGTGGAGGACCCAGTACTGTTATAAAGGCCTAGTGTTAAAAACTGCCTAGTTTATAGGTATTTGAATCAAATTCTTTTCTAAATTTTAATAATCTATTTGACTCAAATCAAGTTTTCGCTGTAGTATCAGTTTTAAAATTGTACACTTTCTCTGAGGTGCGTTGGGCATATGGAACATGGTTCTTCACCGGTGTGAAGAGCCAGCTTTACTGTCGGTTACACCATTTGTTACCAGGTGTTTAGAAATATTTTTCTCATGGAGATATATAGGGGAAAGTATGCTGTAATATTCATGTTTGTTCTGTTTCATTTTTAAAGGAAATAAACATGTTCCAAAAGACATTATTAAAATAAATGTTTGAACAAATTTCAGTTTCCAGGTTACTCGCAACTCCAAATATGTAAGTATATATTTGAATTGGCTTTAAGTGGTTTAGTCTGTTGGATGAAATAGAAGAGTCCATGTAATTGTTGACATTATCAATTATACTTCATAGAAGACTATTTATGTGTTTTGGATCCTATAAGAAGCAAACTCATATAATTTTATCAGAAATGTGGCACGGTGTTTCTCAACAGGTACAGACCAGCCCAGCAGTGAGACCCTCTCCTGTCTCACTGTGTCAGGAGGCCCTGGGCACACACACACCTTCCCAGCCTTAACCACAGCTGGTTGACGACAGACACACTAAAGCTACTGAAAGTGAGTTCTGACGTTAAACACATATGACATGGATGAGAACAGTGAAAAGCCAGCAGGAGCTGGAGTTGGAGGAGACACCATGACTGATGTTCCCTGAAAGCCATGATGCTTCTCCCTCCATCTAGAAGTTTTTTCTCTGAATCCTTCCAGCCCTTCCAACTCCTCCTCCTAGTACCCTAAAGGCTTCATCAGCACTTCCCTCCCTTATGCTAACACCTTTCTATGTCAACTTCTGAGGCCTCACCATACCTGCAAGCTTCCCAGTCTATTGTGGCAAATTTATAAGTTTACAAATATGTTCTTTCATTGAAAAAAACTATTGCAGTAAGTTTAAGTAGCAATCAGACAACCCATAATTTACTAAGAGGCTAAAGGAAGTCATTTAGCATTTAATAAGACTTGTTTACAACATGAAGCAAAGCTAATAATGTTATGGTTTTACTGAGAAACATCTGTGGTCTCTTTTTCTTAAACTGGTTTGGCAATAAGAGCTTTAAAGCATGTTTCAGCTGGGGATTCATTGTAGGCGTGTAAATTATCTAAATGTTCTCCCGTAGACCCTACAACAGGAGGAAGAGGCACTGAAGTAGCTCTGTGTTAGGAGGGGGTGGTGGTCTGTGGCAGCATTGTTGAGTCCTGCTCTTTAATCGAGCAAACTTAGTCATGGTCATGTTACTCTTAAAACAAAGTTATCAGCAAATAGATTATGCAAGGTGTTTCCCAAAGTACAACCTCCAAGGACTTGAGCCCTATCCCTTTGCAGCCTGGACCTCAAACTGCCTCGACTAGCTTTGATAATAGGACATACTTTATTGGAGGATATTTTGGATAGCAGCAAAGAACTGAAGGCAGCTGCTAAAGATTGGTTTGTTTGCATTGAAATGTTTACACCGATTCCCTCTGAGCAGTAGACAGTTTTGCTATCAGGCCCTATATTTAAGACCAAAAACAGAAATATTTCTAAATTTCAAAGATAGAAATACAACACCTCTGGCTGGAAACGCGTTCATCTTCATCTGTATATTTTTTTCTTTATATCTTTATGTAATTCTTTCTGTAAATGTGCATTAAGGTATTTGCTACTTCTTGGTGAATGAAGTCTAAAAATAGAACTATAAATAAAATATACTATATATTTTTCTGTTTCTTGCTTGGTTTGCTTCCACTATGATTGTGTCTACTTTTTACTTAAGGAATTTTTACATAGATGATACTCTCTTACTAACTTGTAACTAGGATGAGTTATGAGATTTTTTGGTAATTATTAGAATTTGTAATAATAATAACTTTTAGACATAGATTTAATTCGAAAAAGTTACTTGAAAACTGCAGTAACTATGATAGCTATAGAGATATATACACAATTTTTTTCTGAGAATATATAACATTAATATTTAATTGTCATAAAGATTTTGGAAATCTTTCAAAATACATTTAACATTTTGAGAACACACCTTCTAATTTATTTCCATAAGGCTGAAGATGTTTTGTTTTATTTACAAAATGTAAGACCTGGTAACTTACAAATCAGTGTTACTCAGACTTATCAGCAATTAAAATAGCAATTTCGTATTTTTTATTTTGGTTTTTGGTTGTGCTTTATTTGTAGGGATTAATAAATACCTTTAGGTATTTCCCTTAAAATTTCAAAATGTTTGTATACTTTATTTGTGTGCAATTTTAAAGTATATGCAAATTCTAAGCAATAATCTGCATGTTATACAAGGTTGGCATTACTTTGTCATGACAATTTTGTTTAATATTAATTTTGAGAATGTGTCTAAAATCAATATCTTATATATAAATCACCCCTCCCCTCCAATGAAAACCTTGGGATTGTCTTGTGTTAGAACACTACTATAATGTGGTGCAAAGCTTTGTATTTTGTGAAAAAATTTAATAAAATCACAATTACTTAGTGCAAAAGTTTGAGTCTGCAAGATGTACATTTTAATAGTAATTAATGAATAGATTGATGATAACAATTCCTTTCCTCAAATCAAACCATCTCTCCTAGCACCTGAATCCTAAAGTTAATATTTATTCTTCAAGATGCTTGTTTATCCCTTTCCCTCCCTTCTTTCCCTTCTTGACTCCTTGAGGTCCCAGTCTTGTAGGAAATGAGAAGGCATAGCAAACATTTTAGTCATGTTCGTTAATGGAAGGAATGGCGCTGTCTAATCAATAGGTTCTTTTAGATTAAGTAGGACTTTGGCAGTTATGTTTTTAATCTCCTTCCCTTTGTCCCTTAGGCCTCTCATATGGTCTCTAGTGTTTTTTGCCCAATGTCTTGGCTAGAATTCCTACCTTCTCAAATTGCCTGGGGTCTTAATTTTGCATCTTGGTCCAAGAATATCCAGTAGATCAGGAAGCAGAGTGCTAAGTGAGTAGAATACTGAAGTGGTTTGGCCTTTGGAGAATATCATGAGTCATGCTTCAGAACATGCTTAAAATATTGTGTCAAGACTGGCAAAGGAACAGCTGAATTTCAAAATTAAAAAAGCAGTCACAGCTGTCAGTGTAGATAGGCCACAGGTAAAATTATAAGAATTCAGAACCCCTCTAAGCAAGTGTACATGGGCACTCTCTCCCACACTTTGGGCATCTCGAAGATGTCACTCTTTAATCTCCTATTCTCTAGTCTTTCTCAAAGTCTGCTTACTGCTTTGCCTCCCTTTTGGTGGTCCTTAAACAAGCACATAATAAGTGATATGGCCAATTTGCAACTTGTCCCCATGCTAGAGACTGGTTACCTGACGTGTTCCTGGATGCTTCAGCTAAATTGGACTCTTTATCTAAGGCCTGTGCACACCCTATCTGCTCGAGTAGCTCATTGTTTATGGCACAGTGCTCCTAGGTCCTCCTCACCCTGGCTAAATAGCCCTTTCCCCTTTTCATCTACCTCCAGCTACATTCTGCCATATCTAGTCTTGTGATTTTACCAAATCATTGATTTTACCATTCCGGAAATTACCTGAGCAGAACTTTCAAGGAAGAGGACTTACAGGCAGAAATGAAAGGTAATGTGGGTGATGGGCTGTGTTTCTGTCGATGATAAAGTTCAAAGACAGTTGGAAATTTTGGAATAATGACACAGAAAAGGAGAAAGGATTTCAGAGAATAGGAACAATAAAGTAAGAAAATGCTATGTACATGCACATTGCATTTTGGGTGACATGAACTTATCAAGAATAATGAATATGTGAAATTCCTATACATGGTATAAGAATTTTTGTCTTTTCTATATTAAAATGCAATATATACAATATTCATTATATACATATATATGTATGTATATGTAGGAATGTCGTGTGTGAGTACAGTCATGCATTGCTTAACGAAGGGGAGACGGTCTGAGAAATGTGTTGTTATGTGATTTCATCATTGTGTGAACAGCATAGAGTGTACTTACACAGACTCGGATGGTATATCCTACTATACCACACCTAGGCTATATGATATTAATCTTATGAGACCACCGTCGTATTTGTGGTCCGTTTTTGAGCAAAATGTCATTATGCGGCACATGACTGTATAAATATATCTATATACAAGAGAGCATATCTTAGCAGTGTTTCACCCACAGCCAACAATCAGATGCCTCCCTGCAGAGGCAGGAATGAGGAGGCAACCTTGGTGGAGCAGTGGTCCTGGTGGGCTGCCTGAGCCTGCAGGAGACCCAAGTCCTGATGTGTTGTAGTTACCAAAAACCAAACTATGCCCAATAATTAACCTTCCTGGAATGATTTGTATTGTCAGGCAGGCTCATCATGAGAAGTTTTAGAAGATGAAATGAGTAGTTTTTAATGTATACTGTGGTGTGGAAAGAATAGATGTATGGATGGATGCAGCACAAGAGGGTAGGATTGTTGAATTATAAATTGGAAAAGAGCAACTTGGAAAGAGTGACGTGCCTGAGAGCCTAAGGTAGCTGTGAAAAAGTATCTTAATCGCTGTGAGTCTTAGTTTTGTTATCTGTAAAATAACGTTTGAAGTATCTCTGACGTTCCTTCCAACTCTCACATCCTATTAGTAAGAGCTTTAATTTGAAACAAAGCAATTAGGAAGGAGCAAGTGTAGCTTTAAGGCTTAGTAATGTGATTAAAGTGACATTTGAGGGAGAGTCTCCGTGTCAGATGAGTGGGAGTACAGAAACAGTTTAGTGATGGAGAAACTGGCCAACCAACTGTGAAGAGGTTAAGCCGGGTGCGTGGCCTGAGACAAGGAAGAAAAAGAAAAGTGCCAGATCTGATAAATATTACAGAGGGAGAGCCAAAAGGGTTTAGAAAAACTGAAGTAACTCACAAATAAGGCTGTGGAGCTGAGAGGTGACAGATGCCACTGGTTGTGGTGTCAGAATGTGGAGAATCAGGGACACAGCGGGAGGTTGGAGGGCAGGCTGGTGGCAGCTTTTAAGGGGATGCTGTGGAGGAGAGGAAGATGAGGGAGGTCAGGGTCTGAGGCATTTTGCTGTGAACGAGGAAAGAGAAGATGTAGTGGTTGGGAGAGCAGAGTGGAGCCTGTGGTAGACTTGGAACATAATGGCAATGTGAAGAATTCAATCTAGGGGAAAGAAAAAGTCTCGCAAAGTGCCTCACTGTTGTGGTTTCAATAGCTTTTCTCTCTCTGTCTCTCTCTCTCTCTTTTTTTTTTGAGGAAGATTGGCCCTGAGCTGACATCTGTTGCTAATCTTCCTCTTTTTTTTCCTTTGTTCTCCCCAAAGCCCCAGTACATAGTTGTATATCCTAGTTGTAGGTCCTTCTAGTAGTTCTATGTTGGACACTGCCTCAGCATGTCTTGCTGAGCGGTAAGTCCGTGCCCAGGATCTGAACCTGTGAACCCCGGGCTGCCGAAGCGGAGCACTCGAACTTAACTGCTCTGCCACTGTGCCAGCCCCGATTTTCTCATTTCTCACCCACTGTCTTGCCTTGAGCCCTCATATCTGTGTATTCTAGGTTTCTGACCGCTCACTGACCTGTAATTCCCTTACAACCCTCTCGTGCTCTCCACTCTGTCCTCATGACTCATTGCTCCCCATGGTGTCAGCCCAGTCCTGTTGAGTCAGAGAGCTTTGGAAAGGTCTGGAGATGATGGGAAGAGGCCCAAAGAATAAGGCCCTTCTGTGGAGTCTGGTGGCAGATCCAGTAGCTGGAGGCTGCTGCGGATGGGATTGACTCCCTAGCTGGGGTGGTCTGTGGGTGGTGAGAGGAGAAGCAAAAGTTCAAAGGGTGGAGCAGAAGCCAGTATGTCTAGGAGCAGGGGCAAGGAGGCTGCAGTCATTGTGTTAGGTCTCCAGTTCTGGCTTATGAATTAAGAGGTGAAACGGAGAGGCACTCTACAACGTTCCCTCCTGGACTGCCATACAGTCTCTCCCACCCTACAGTCTCCCTGCCCATCTATCACACATGCTACTGACTGACTCATTTTAAAACACATCTTTAATTTACGTCACAGCCCTGCTCAGAAATTCCAATACTCCCAAGTCTAAATTCCTTAAGGCAAATTGAAGGCTCTCAATGATTTACTCTACCCTCTCTATTCAGGTTCCACCAGGTGGGTGCCACTGTCTCCCACCTGCTCATCCAGCTGTAAGCCCTTGCACTCCTGTGCCTCTAGCCTGGGGCCCTTTCCTCTCACGGATCTGTCACCTACTCATCCTCAAGACACGTAGCAAGAGAATTGGTTTCTTTTTTCCCACTTAAAAACAAAACAGACAAACACGTGAGGTAGAGTTGAGAGGAATGTTCATTAAATCATTTTAATCTTTATTAAGCACTGGCTAGATTGCCAAATAAGTTCCTGGAACAACAGGATAAATAAATTCTTGACTGAGCGTGGACCTCGGAACTTCCTGTCCTGGGTAAGCTTGTATGGCCATAGCCAAGCTGTTTTGTTTTCTCTCAGCCTAAAGGTCAAAGAAATTAGTTCACCCACCCCCACTGACAGGCAAGTGGTGGGAGCTCAGCCCTCTCAGGCTTCAGCATGCACTTGGATGTTTTTGAGGTACATTGTGGAAAGGCTTTTCAGCTGGGAGTCTGGAAACCTGGATTCCAGTTCTGGCTCTGCCACTGACTGGTGACCACTTTAGGCAAGTGCTTTCACCGTGCTGGCATTTATTTTCTCGTCTGTAAAGTGAGGAGTGGAACTGGCTGAATTGAAGGGCCTTTTTCTTTCAAATTCCGTCATACTATGATAATGGTAATTAGAATCAAGTTTAGGGTATAGCCCAGGGTATAGCAGCTATGAGCATAATTCCTGTCAGACAGCAATTCTAGAATATTGGTTTCAGTTGTGTATGTTTTTGGAGGTGGCTTAAATTCTAATTTTGATTGTGACTATACGCCCTTGAGTGTGGCCACTTGTTTCTGACTCCATCTTCCTCACTTCCAAGAGGAGATGGTGTCACTTGCAATCAATGAACCTCATCAAAAAGGCTGAGTATAATATTTTCTGAGCACTTCAACGTTCTTAGGGGAAAGAGATGAAGTTTTAATGATGTACTTTCCCACTATACTTGAAGCCAAGTTGATTTTTTTTTAATACTCTTCGTAGTGTTAACCTTTGGAAGATGTAAACATCTTAATCATGGTCTCCAGATATGGAACCCATTTTCTTTGTTTCCCACGATAAAATATCATCAGAAAGGAAAATAGATAACTAATGAAAATGTAAAGAGTAGGTTATTTATTCCTCTCTCACCAAAACAAAAAATTTGAATCCTCTAATTATCTTGAGAAGCCAATTTACCACTAATGGGTCAGTTACCTTGGTTGACTCAGTATTGAGTAATCCGACTTTCTATAAGATTTCTGTGTTCTTAGTGACCCTAAGCCTAGGCTGCCAGGGTTATTTGGTGGGCTTTGTGCAGAGTCAAAGCCAGGCTGAACTGAGATGGGGAAATTATTCTGACAAGTTTATTATCTGGG